CACTCAGTTTGTGGTGTCACCACAAACTACCAGAATGTAAACAAACATATGGCTGTGTTCCCAACAATTTTGCGCACTCGCAAGGCGTCATATTTTCCCTCCTGAATAGTACTTATTTGGAATAGAGTAGGGTTGAATCAACTTACTTTGTAAAGAAACGACCAGAAAATTGACTTCCAGTATCGTCCTAATGTTACATAATGCAGCTTTAACAGACTAAATTTCACAGTTGGAATAATCTTCTAGTAACTAAATTCCACGACATTTTCAACCAGGTCACGTACGTGTACATGTCTGAACTTCACGCTTCCATTCACAAAGTAAAGAACCTGAGCGAAACGAAGAAACAACTTTCGATAGACTAAAAAGGGAAAGTCTATTATCTCCTCGTTCCAGTAGACAGACATGAAAGGAAATCTTTGAGCCACAGGGCGCCATCTTCAAGACGCGGAACCACTCTTTTAAGACGGAAAGATTACGACCCAAAAGATGCCTTCTGTGATAGAGTAGCCATTACTGAATCCTCCTGGGCGTCTTTAGTTCTCTGGTCTTGACTGAAGCATGCATCTTTCCCCGATGTTAGATTGAAAGCAGAAGTGCTCTAAGAAGAGATCATGAACTCACAAGATTTCGGGTAGGATAAGCTTTGAAAGCCTCTTAACACAATTTTTTCTGTATAAAAGCTAACCTAGGTGAAGTTTTATGCAAGTTTATATAAAATGAAGACTTTGGGTGGGGTTAGCTTTGAAAAGCTTTTAACAATTTTTTTCTGTGAACAGGCTAACCTAGGTGAAGTTTTATACAAGTTTAGATTTGAACCCGACTAAGAAGTGAAGACTCAAGACTTTGGGCGGGTTAGCTCTTAACAAAATGTTTTTTTTTTTCTGTGTAAAAGCTAGCCTAGGTGAAGCTTTATGCAAGTTTAGATTGGAATCTGACTACGAAGTGAAGACTCAAGACTTTGGGCGGGGGTAGCTTTGAAAAGCTGTTAACAAAATATTTTTTCTGTGTAAAAGCTAACCTACCAAGGTGAAGTTTTTAAAGTTTATATTGGAACCTGACTACAAAGTGAAGACTCAAGGGTCAATACAGAGACTGGCCGGGCACCGGACGGGTCCCTTACAGAAACCGGCCGTCAAAGGGACCAAAAGTTTGTGAATTTTAAATAGAAGCCGCCTCAGCGCCCCGACAGGGAGCCGTAAAGGAACATTTAATTGTGACCCTGACAGCCGGAGCACGCTCGGCTTCATGACGCCGGCCGGCGTCTACACAGAGAACATGCCGAGCAGGCCCCGTTTCAAATGTGAATCCAGCTTTAGCTTTGAAAAGCTTTTAGTAGAAGGTGTTTCTGTGTAAAAGTCATTAAAGTAGGTCTCAAGGGTAAGCTGTAAAGGTTTATTGCCACTTTGCGTGTTATGTGACTGCCTTGAGAAAAAAAGAAGGTACAATGACCTGAAGTAAACTTTGAGAACGATTATTGCCATATGATTTATGATATTGGCTGATTTATTGCAAGCGAACCTTTTGGCAGCTGGCGGTTGAATTGTCTGGTGTGTACAAAGCATACGACTATTAAAAATTCATAATGTTGCAATAAATAATTCACAGAATACCATAGTATGGTCACACCCTTTTTTATATCATAGACCCACCCTCCATTCACACAATCCGTTTCAAAGATTGCCCCCCCCCCCATTTAGCGATGTTATAATGCAGGTTACTAATTCATCCATTTATGCCATGTATTGTCCAAATTCTTTATAATTTTCGGTGATGTACGTCACTTATATAGAAAATTATGCATGTATATCTTGGAAAATGCCAAATATGTATTTCACATTTACTTTGTCAATACGGTAGTACCTGTTTCTGTATCACTACCACACAGTGTGCAGGAAATACATGTAATATTATTACCTCCATGAAAAATGGAGGTATTGTTTTTGGCGTGTCTGTCTGTCTGTCTGTCTGTGTGTGTTTCCGCACATTTGTAGTCAGCATAACTTCAGAACGCCTTTATGGATTGTGATGATATTTGGTCTGTTGGTACGTCGTAGGAAGACAAAGGTCAAGGTCAAATATGGGCCTCCTGGCGGCTGACCTTGGTACTGCAGCAGAACTTCCGGTTTTTGTATCTTTTGTCCTGAACATGCTATGGTCTTGGATTTTTGGTGACAGATAGCTTTTCCTGTCAGGAATAAATGTTGTGGGTTTTGTCTCCCAAATCCCCCAAAAACATTTACATAAACTCTACATATTTCATGGAGGTATGAGATCTCCGAATTCTTGTTACCTAGCTTGCAGCTGTATATTGATTGTGGGAACAGTACAATGCTATAACCTATAACCACTGATGTATGTGTACTGTAATTGGAAAAGGCGGCGCCGATGGTTTAAGCTCAGTGCTTAGAGAGAGACCGCATTGCGGAGAAGGCATGATTTGTGTCTTATGCAATACCCTGTGTTTTATCATTTGTGGCTTCTATGAAACGCACCGTAATCTATAAAACACATGGCTTCCAATATCGTATCCTTTACAACTTAATCAAAGCTATTAAGTGTACGAGGCTTCTTGAGTGAAATGGGTGATTGTAAAAAATGGCTTCAAGCAGAATATATATTTAGCTAGCTACAGAAGGCCTCGCCAAGGAGCCTGCTATCAAGGCTAAGACGACCATCGGTAATACAAGGAAACATGAATGTAGCCTCGACCAGGCTAAAACAAATAGGAGAAATCCGCCAAATGGGGAGGGTGGGGCGTTTTGCAAAAGGAACTCAGATGATTTCAATTCTATAGCCAGCCAACTCATATGGTATAGAATGGTAATCTCCAAGCAGATCTTTTGGTGGGGGTAAGACAGTATGAACACACTGGCCAATTTGATACTGC